GAAAACATAAACATTCATTCCAAAAACTCCCAACGTAATGACTATAATCGAACAGGCAAAATGAGGAGCTGTGTGCCCTGAGAATCAAGAACAGGCAAAATCAGACTAGACAATCGATTACCAGGCTGCGCTGAACTTCTCATTAGAATCTGAAAGGCATGACAATCGATTATCACATATGTGATAATCGACTATCAGGCCCTACGGATTCCTGAGATTCCTGAGTCTGAGCTGGTTCATCTGATAATCAATTATCACAGAAGCAATAATCGATTATCAGGCCTCTCTGAACTTGGGTTTCCTGGACAAAACCACCTGACAATCGACTGTCATGAGGTGACAATCGACTATCATGGCCTGCGGAACTTGGGAGAAAAAGCTGCACAGTGTGATAATCGATTATCAACAGTGGATAATCAATTATCAGCCAGTTCTGAACCCCGGGCCATTGTGTTGAACAATTTGTTTTCATACGATATCAAACATATATGTATGTGTTGAACTTAACTTCATTCTTCAATCAATGCGTCCATATCATCATGTATATTCTAAACGCATGTTTAGGATCATGACATACTTTGCATACCGCAACAAGAGGTCAGGCCTAGTGCGCCTCTTCCGTGGGCCTGTCTAGGAACCTGCGGGATCCAACAGGTTTTCATCACGAGGGCTTGTGTACGTACATGGTAGCTAGGCTTCAGCTATTGGTGGTCCCAAAGTGGTGAGATACAAAGTCTAGAGGGGGGGGGGGGGGTGAATAGACTTTGTTTCAATTTTAAAACATTTTCGTTTCTTTTGAAAACGTGAGAATAGTGTAAATCTAGAGTTCTTGGGAACTTTAGATTGTGTGCGGAATTTGGTGGGTAGTATGAGCAGTAATCAATATGGATGGGTTAGTTTTCACAATTAATATAATTGCAAGTATGGGTAAAGATAAAAGAGAGAGACACGGAAACTTTAACGAGGTTCGAAGGTGGGGTAATCCTTCTACGTCCTCAAAATCCACTATGTAGTTTGTTGTTGAAAAATGAACCAACAATTACACTTGTGTGAATTTCTACACGGTATATCTTCGCAAGGCCAAAGTTGCTACTGCACTCGTGCTGGCTTTGTTGTTCCTTCGAAGGTCACGCTTCTTCAACAACTGCAAGATCGGCACAATAGGACCTGCAAGATCAACTTGTGAGAAAGTTGATCTACCCCCTTTTAATCAAGAAGTTTGATCAAAAGTTATATCCTTCAACGTGGTGTGGTACTTGAGGCAAGAAACCTTCAAGTGTTTACACTATAGCTCTTTGGAAGAAGGAGAAGTTTGTTTCTGGATAAGGAGTTTTAGAAATCTCTCTTTATCAAGCTTTTTGGGCTAACTGTGAATGAGATAGCTTTGTTATTAGAGATTGCTTTCGTTGTGTTCGTCTATCTCGTTGTTTTTTTCAGTCTTCCAAGGTTTCTATTTATAGCTGGATTGGATAATCTATCCGTTGAATCAAAATAGACTATCCGTTGCATTTGCTGGCTTCAATTTTGAAAGAAGATTGTGATTAAGGATTCCTCATTGGAGTGGGTGTTTGGACATATCCAATTGTTTGAGGAGGGATTCCTTTTTCCACAGAATCCGTCTTCTAGCTGTTGTTCAAGAATTCTGGACTGTAGCACTTTACTCAGTTTGTCTTCTAGTGCTTGTTTAGGAATTCTGGACGAGCTCTTTAATTTGAGGAGTTCAGACTTTGTCTTCAAGTCATTTGTTCTTGAATCAGCTTAATTATCTTCAATCTAGCCGTTGAAAATCAAGAGATTGATTTTTCCTTACCAACGGGTAGAATTTCTTCATTCAAGACTTAGAATTTTTCTAAGTCTTTTCTCACTTGTCCGCTTCTGAGAGTTCCGATCTTTTCTTGAGGCATCCAGATCTTTCCTTGACAAATCTGGAAGAGTCATTCACAGACTTCCGGGTGAGAAAGAGATCTGTGCTAGTCTTCCATTTTGAATGACTTAGCCTCCAGCGGGTTGTAGCGAGACATCCGGTTATCATGTAGTGTTCCGGATTAGAGGATCTTCATCTGCTTTGAGAAATCCTTACTTGTCTCTTGACATTTCCGATTAAGATATCCAATATCCATATTATAGAAATTGATTAAGTCTTCAAGCATCAAACCACTTAAATAAATATCACAACTTTATTGGAAATCTCAAGAACTCGGTTTTAACAATATTTCTAAAAAGAAAAATTACATTGAATATTGGGGGAGGCCTAGCGTCCCTATTACAATCTAAATACATCATCATGAAAATCTGTAATATACAGCTTGTTAACAAAAACACTTAAACAAATACAATTAAAATTACAATAATTCCTAAACCAAGTCTTGTCTTGAGATTTGTGATATTTTCTGCCATTTGCCGCTTTCACATCCAGCAGATTTTGTTTGGTAGTGCAGATGGCGGTGCGTTTGATAGATCTTTAATATCCAAAGTGGATATTTGAGATCTTGGAACCAACATCTCTCTAAAAAGTAAAAACAAGAACAACAAGAAAGTGGAGGGAAAGAAGGCGGCGGTGGAAGAAAAGAAAAACGCAGAAGGACAAGAAAAAGGTTTTGGAAAAGAGAATTGATTGAAAAAAATAAGGTTTAAAGATGAAAAAAACTTTGAAAAAGAGTTTAAAAAAAATTTAAAAAAATGCTTGAGTAAAGGGTGTAGAGACTGCACAAATAAAAGAAAGAGAGAAATTTTTTAAAAAGAATTAGAAGAAACAAAGATGGAGAGAGTGTTGTTTCCAGAGAAGGTGTATGGTGTAATCCTGAAAAATATGAGATTTTCACCACAGACCTTCTCTACTGCCGAGATTCTCACCATAGACATTGAAAGTCTTTTCTTCTCATTAGGCTTTCTCCATCACCGTCTATCAGGGTGAGAAAGAAAAATTTCTCCATTGTGGATATTTTTCTTGATGTGTTTCTCACACAGTGAGTTTGAAGACTTTTCATATTGAGAGAGTTCTTTGTGATAGGAATGGATTGTAATGTCTTGATTTAAATAGGAGAGGAGGTAGAGAGAGGGGAGGTTCACGGGTTCCATTAATTGGGTAGTTGGAACGGTGAGAGCAAAAGAGTTTCTGTTGGAACACACTTTGTACGATAAACTTAAGTCGTGTTCATTTCTGACAGGTTTTGATAATTGCCAAACTGCCGTGGATATAAAGAGTTTCGTTGAATAACTCAAGGCGTGAAGAATGGCTTGGAACAAGACCTAAAAGATTCAAGGACAAGATCAAAAATTGAAGACTTAGTCGAGTCGGTCTTTTGTGATCAAAACCGACAATAAATTAAAGTCTCGGTTCTCAAAAAGTCAAAACAATTTTTAAAAATCACAAAAAAAATTTTGTGCATCAAAACAAACATTTTTGATGATTTCTTCTATTGTCAAAATCCCTGGTCCTTGCTCAGAACCGAAACCACTTTAGTCGGCGTTCGGCTTTCGGCGTTCAATTTTTGGCGCCCGAACCAACTCCGTGGTTTTCAATTTTTTTAAACCCTGTTTTTACCTCTGAGCATTTTTAAAATGTTCCCAAATAATTATTTTATAAAAACCACTTTTGTATCTTGGTCAATCGGTCTAACACGTGAAAAACGGTCTAAACCGTACGCACGTATTATACGACCTTGGAGACTTGGTTTTTACCAAACAAGTCTTGTTTTCACTATTTTATACCATACACAATATTTTCCAAACCTGGTTTTTACTTTTGGGAACACTTCGTTTTTGGACCTCGGTTTTTCAAAACGGGTTTCAGCTGGTTAGACTTTAGCTGGGTGATAATCGATTATCACCTTAGTGACAATCGACTATCAGCCCCTGCAGCTTTGAACTTCCAAAGTTCTGAAGCACGCAATAATCGATTATCAGCTTTGCGATAATCGATTATCAGTCTTTGCAGCCAAAACCCAGAATCTTCTGAGAGGACAAATAATCGATTATCACTTGTTGACAATCGATTATCTGGGTTACCGTTGTCGTCCAACAGATAGAATTTTAAATTTTTGGACAGGGAATCTTTGGATAATCGATTATCAAGCTTTGACAATCGACTATCACCCTGTGTCTCTGAAAAATTTGTCTTCATCCTGTTGGAAACTCTAGCAACAGATTTATCCCATTTTGGGCTATAAAATGGCACCCAAATCCTCTCATTTTACACACAATTCTTCAACATTTCAATACTCCTTCATTGCATAAGCATTCCTATTTTTCTTAGCTATTTGAGAGCCAATTCTTGAAGAAATTGTCGTGTTCTTGAGCGTTTACTAGTTCACTCATATCTACTCTTTGTGAGAGTTTTATTCCTGAGTGTTTAAGTGTCTTCATACACTTTAAGGGAGGTTGTTCCCTTGTTGTAATCTCGAAGGAAATTACTTGTTCCTTCGTGATAAGTCTTGGAGTGCGGTATCTCCGAGCAAAGGTGTTGAGGCTCGTGTGACTCGAGTTCTCAAGTTGTATCGGTTTGTTAAGCACCCTTAAGCTTAACGGAGTTAGTGTAGCTCGAGAGAGTCTCTCGAGGGGGCTGGATTAGCCACACGTTGTGGTGAACCAGGATAAAATTCGGTGTGCTCCTTCCTTACGCTCTTTACTTTAACGCTCTCGTTTTAATTTCCCGTGATTTTATTTTAAACGCTATTCACCCCCCCCTCTAGTGTTGGGCCTTTATTCTAACAATTGGTATCAGAGCCATACTCTCTGAAAGACTTAACCGTTTGAGAGAAACGATCAATGGCTTCTACTCAAAGTTCATACGCAGGTTTAAGTGAAGGGCAATCCACCACGAGGCCTCCATTGTTTGACGGAACAAACTACACCTATTGGAAGGAGCGGATGAGGATTTACATCCAATCCACCAACTTTCTCCTTTGGAGAATTATCAAAAATGGTGAGAACGTGCCAATGAAGAAGCTCGAGGAAACCAACATCCCTAAGACCGAGGATGAATATGATGCGCAAGACATCAAGAAGGTGGAAAACAATGCCAAGTCCATCAACATCATCTATTGTGCCGTTAACCCGGATGACTACCGGAAGATTTCTTGTTGAACCACCGCAAAGGAAATGTGGGACAAACTAGAAATCACCTACGAAGGTATGGATCAAGTCCGAGAAGCTAAAATTGATGTTCTAACCCATGAATATGAATTGTTTCGTATGAAGGAAAACGAGAAAATCGATGAGATGTTTGAACGGTTCTCCAAAATCGTCAATGATCTTCATGCTCTCAAGAAAACGTACACGGACAAGGAGCTAGTGAGAAAAATCCTGCGGAGTCTCACACCGGAGTGGCGCTCTAAAGCCGATGCCATTCAAGAGTCCATCGGCATCACCAACGTCACTATTGACGGACTTAGAGGTAACCTCAAAACCTATGAGTCCACCATTCTATTCCCTTCTTTAGGTGAACAAAAGAAGAAGGGGATTGCACTCAAGGCTACCTCAATCCAAGAACCCGCCATGGAAGAATCAAGCGATGAGGACAACGAGTTCGGGCTCGTCATCAAAAAATTCCACAAGTTCATGCGAAAAGAGTATGAACGAAAGGGAAAAAAGCATGGAGGACCACCCAAGTGCTATGGGTGTGGAGAAGTTGGGCACATCAAGCCAAAATCCCAAATGCCAAAAACGAGAAGGAAAAGAAACCGTTCAAGAAGCACCGAGCTTACATTTCATGGGGAGGTGATTCCGGCGACGAATCATCGGAAGGCGAAGAAAACGAAAGTGCCAATCTTTGCCTCATGGCACACGAGGAACCACCGGAAGAGGTATGTACCACTTCTAACGATTCCTACACCTTTGATGATGTTCAAGAAGCCTTCAATGAACTTTATGATGAATATGTCAACGCTTCTAAAATTAACAAGGATTTGAAGAAACAACTTACTTCCATGGAGAAGGAAGTTGATAAACTATCAAAAGATAACGAAAAACTTAAAGAAGAAAATAAGTTTTTCGGGAAAAGAAGCGCCGACAAACCGGAGAGTTCAAAATGAAGTTCTTGTTTATCACTTAAGGATCAAGTTGCAAAACTTGAAGGAACTTTGAAGAAGTTTGGTGTTTCTCATAAAAACCTTAATGATGTTCTTGACAATTTGCAACTTACTAAACATGGCATAGGTTTTGAAAATGAAACCAATAATAAGGAAAAAGTTGAGCAACCACCTAAACAACCTAAGGCTCAACCTAGGAAAACTAAAATGAACAATAATAGACAACCTACATCAACTAGGAACACTAGACCACCTAGAAAGAACACTAGGATAAACAATGATCAAGTTAAAGAATCTAGAAACCATTTTCCAAATATGCATAAACAAAACTTTTCTCAAACTAGGGTCAAGCAATATAGAAAACCTAGTAACTATTATCAACCTAGGAGAATGCATAATCCAAATGTTATTTGCGTTTATTGCAATAGGGTAGGACATATAGCCCCGGTTTGTTTCACTAGGCATAGGCATTGCACTCAAAACCAATCACACTACCAATGTGCACCTTACGCCCAAGGACCCAAAAGGAATTGGGTACCTAAAACTTTTTAAATTGGTTTGTAGGTGTGCTTGAAGGCATCAAGTGTACTTTGGTACCTTGATAGCGGATGCTCCAAGCACATGACCGGAGATGCATCCAAGTTTTTGCAAATCAAAGCAACTAAAGGAGGAAACGTTGTCTTTGGTGATAATAGCAAAGGAGAGATAATTGGCATTGGTTCGGTTGGTAAAAACAAAAACTCCTCTATTGATAATGTTTTGTTGGTTAAGGGTCTTAAACATAATCTCTTGAGCATAAGTCAATTGTGTGACAAGGGAAATCATGTGACCTTCGATTCCAAATCATGTACGGTAGAAAGTCTTAGTGACAATAAGATGATTCTTCGTGGTGATAGAATTGATAACATTTACATGGTTAACTTAGATGAATCTCCCTCCGACTTTGCAAAATGTCTCATGAGTAAGGAGGACGATATGTGGCTATGGCATCGCAGAGTAGCTCATGTCAACATGAATCTTTTGAATAAATTGGTTTCACAAGACCTAGTAGTTGGCCTTCCAAAACTCAAGTTTGAGAAGGACACCATTTGTGATTCATGTCAAAAGGGCAAGCAAGTAAGGGCCTCATTTAAATCTAAGAATGTTGTGTCTACAACAAGGCCCCTACAACTTTTTCACATGGATCTCTTTGGACCATCAAGAACAAAAAGTTTTGGGGGAAACTATTTTGCCTTTGTAATTGTTGATGACTACTCTCGATTCACATGGACATTATTTCTAACTCATAAAAGTGAGGCATTTCATGTTTTTAAAACCTTTCTCAAAAAGGTTCAAAATGAAAAAGGATTAACCACCGTAGCCATACGAAGCGATCATGGTGGAGAGTTCGAACGAGATCTCTCTACTGAGTTTTGTGACAAACTAGGCATCGAGCATAAATTCTCCACTCCACGTACACCACAACAAAATGGCGTGGTGGAACGTAAAAATCGTTGCCTTGAGGAGATGGCTAGAACTATGCTTGATGAGGCAAAAATTCCTAAGTATTTTTGGGCGGATGCCGTGAGTACCGCGAGCTACGTGTTAAACCGAGCCATCATTAGACCGATACTCATGAAAACCCATACGAACTATACAAAGGAAGAAAGCCAAACCTCTCCCATCTTCGAGTCTTTGGTTGCAAATGTTTTGTTCACAATAACAGAAAAGATAATTTGGGTAAATTTGATGCAAAGTCGGATGAAGGAATTTTTCTTGGTTATTCATTGTGTAGTAAGGCTTATAGAGTCTTCAACAAACGCACCTTAACCGTTGAGGACTCTCCTCATGCTGTCTTTGCCGAAAATGAGACTCGCTTGGCGAGAAAGGTTTCTTGTGATGATCTTATAGATTCGTTGGAAAACATCTACGACGATGACAAAGTAGACAACTCAAAGGAAAGCCAAGATGAAGAAGTAGAGCCACCCGTAAACGAGGAACAACCACAAGAGGAGGAAACGCCAATGCCAAGAGCATGGAGGACTTCACAGAACCATCCTCTTGACAAGGTGATCGGTGACATCAACCGAAAGGTAAGTACTCGTAGCTTTCTCAGGGACACCATAGGTCACATGGCTTTTGTTTCTAAAATTGAACCTACAACCATTTCAGAAGCAATTGATGATGAACATTGGACCTTGGCAATGCAAGAGGAGCTTAACCAATTCAAACGAAATGACGTTTGGGAATTGGTGCCAAGACCCGATGATCATACCATAATCGGTACGAAATGAGTGTTCCGTAACAAACTCGATGAAAATGGAATAATCACTAGAAACAAAGCTAGGCTCGTAGCTAAAGGCTACAATCAAGAAGAAGGCATTGATTTTGAAGAAACTTATGCACCGGTAGCACGTTTAGAAGCTATTCGTTTATTACTCGCTTTTGCTTCATCTATGGATTTTAAACTATACCAAATGGATGTTAAGAGTGCCTTCCTCAATGGTTTTATTCAAGAGGAAGTGTATGTTGATCAACCCCCGGGCTTTGAGGATTTTGAGCACCCGGAGTATGTCTATAAACTAAAGAAAGCACTCTA